CTTCAGCATCAAATTTTCTTCATTAAGTCTTTTTCATTAATACCAAAAGGATCTAGAGTTCTTGCTAGAGACCCTAAGTCTTTGGGAATGATACAATGCAAAACCACTTGCAGTGGCACAGCATCTTGTTTCACAAGAAAATAAATCTTTCTTTTTTTACCCAGTGAAATACACATTTTAAAATTTCTTACTGTTGGACTAGAAAGGCAAAAATTTACTTGTGTGTCGGTGCTGTGGCACTTTCCACTTCTCCTACACTGGTTACAGAGTTCTCATTAGTTCCCTGATCCCTCGTTATTTCTTTCCAGTTTTACTCATGTTGGTTTTCTGTACTTCTCTTTTAAAGTCTAGTCCTTGGGTACATTCTCCAGTCATATGTAAACAATTCTGAATAGTTCACTCAGACCAATCCAGACATGTCTGCGTGTTCAAAATCCATACTTAATTTCTCTGCCTTTTGATGGTGTATTTATGCAGTGTACTGACTTTCAAAAAGAAGTGCCCCTCAATGCTTGCAGCAAAGCCCTCTGCTCCTTTATTTGTGCCTATACAGAGGTTCATGTGATAATGCAGTAAACAGGATCACTAAAATGACCTGGCTTAGAAACACTTCCCTCTTTTTCTTCTTCTTTTAAGTATCAGAAAAAGACAATTTTCATTCCACAATAAAATTCATCTCCTTATTTCTAGGAAGTCAATGTGAAAAGTAAGCATTATGAAAAAATCTGACATATGTATTATTTTCCATAAAAATACTTCAAAAATCTCTGCATTCTCTGCAGTGCCATTAAACATAAAAGGAGATAGAATCCAGGAATATGTGGTATAGTAGCAAAGAGGCATGCTAGCCACAACGTCTCATTTCTGATATTGTAGTCACTCTACACTTAAACTCCAGCTTACATCTAGACATTGTTTTGCTTAATCTTTTTATGCAAGCAATAACACTAGCAAAAGACTACCGTGAAAATCTTACTGCAAATTTCTTTTTCCAGCCCTAATTTCCTGACGTTTTTGAAATGTTAGTGTAATTGAGAAGTGGTTGGACTATTTTGTGTACTTTTTACTGCAAAACACTAATGTTTCCAAAGTCAGGGTGAAAGGCTATTTATGACATAAAAGTTACAGCCAATTGCTGTCATTATCTCAAAATATAATCAGACTGCATGAAATGGGTTCCATGGCCTCTGTGGTGCATAGTTTTATACTATTAAGTGTAGCTTAGAAGTAACAGAAACTGATATTGATGGGATCTGTTCTTGATTGTGCACAACAAGGCAGCCAGGAATGCATAAGGAAACCGAAACAACAATAAAAGTAAATTAAAGATCTAGTTGCAGGCCACAGATGACTCTTATTTGTCCTACTACATTTTCAGTAAAAATTTGGCAGGTTAGTAACCTTACTTAGCATCTTTAATAGTCTTCTGAGTATGTATGCTATGATGAGACAGACTTAACTGAAAAATTGTTTCAGGCTGCGAAACTACATAAACGAGTTTAGTTGCATAGGCTAAGCTGAATAAGCCAGAAAGTGTCATACTGGATGCAAAGCTTTAATAATTGTAAGAGAGGTGCTAACAGGTAGATTTATTGACACCTATGATCAAAAGAAGGCTGAATAGAAGAAAAAGATAGATGAACAAAATATAGTACTTATATTAACCAGAATGTTAATTTTCACATGCTGCACAAAGTTACACAGGAAGAATTGAAGGAAGGGCTGTACAATATGATCACTCTCAAGCCTAAGACATCAATGCTTAAAAATCATCTGCAAAGTAGTGTACATCTGCATAGATCAGCATATGGATAGGTATAAAAGGCTACAGCATGGATGGAATCTCTTGCTTATACAGTAGGATTACAGTATGAACTAAATGAAAAGACTATTTTTCCATTTTACTACCAAAACAAAAGAGAATAACAAAATTAATTTTCAATTTGAAAACACTTTACTTGTAACTGCATTTTATAAATCAAAACAAAGACCAGAACATGTAATTTTGTGCAACACTTCTTAGAGCTATGGAGATGTTTCTAGTTTGATTCTTAAAGGAGCTTTTCAATATTCATGTGGACTACAAGCTATTACAATTTCCTATAGGAGGCCTATAAGCATTTTCAAGTTCAGAGCAATACTGCTCATTTGTTACAGAGCTGCTTGTTTTGTTCAAGGGATCAGTTTGGTTTTTTACGTTTCATATACATATTAATAGGCACTCAGATTTTTGTATTATTCATGTTCCCCAAATATACTTCACTGTTTCACCTCTAACACTGAAGAACTTAACCAAAAACAAATTTTAAAACAGATGCTTTTAATTGCAGCAAAAACCATACTCTGCTGCGCTATAGCTATCAGAAGTTTTGCCTGACTTACTGGGGAAAAACCCACAGCAATTCAGTCCAAACCAAGGATTTCTTCTAGATTTTGCTGGGATCCATTGAGACAGAGTCTTGAGAGGCTATATCTATATTGCTTTGTTACATTACTTCTGAGTAGACTCCTGCAAGTCTCAAGGAACTTACAGACCACACATGTCTTGTCCCAACGTGACACTACAAGTGGTACCTTCAAGGACTGGCACGTGTCCCACCACCTCTTGTACTGTCTCTCACACCCTTCAAACATTTGTTCTCCTGCTAAGAAATCTGCAACAGATATAAGGCGTATGTAAGGTGGCTGCTAAGCTCCTGACTTCAGTCAGCACAGTCGCAGCCCCAGGCACGGAGCGAGACGTGCTTGTGTGTGGCTGCTTATTATCCAAAATGGATTTTAACTTCAGCAAGAGAAAGAAGTTTGACACTCAGTGTTTACTTTGGTTCTATCTCATTTAGGCCAAGAAATCTCTTGGGCTTACCACAGATGAGTAAATCTAGGAAACAGAAGTAAATCAGGACAATGTGGACTTCAAGATGGCAGCAAAGAAAAAGAGGTTATATCCTGATGTGGTGGCTCATATTCACACCTGTGCACACAGCTGCCCAAAAGAGCTGCAAACATTATTCACCTTGGGGATGCTTCCTGTTACTTGGAGAATAACATGCATTGTCCTCCACAGTAGGTTTAACCAACTTTTCCAAGTTTACCAGGGGAAAAAGCCTATTTGGCAGGATTTAAGTGAGCTTAGACAGACACTGGAGAGACCCATAGTTGCAAGGTGGATATTGAAATTCTACTTCATGGGTCAATCTGTGGATATCTACGCACAAATACTGACATTTATGTCCTGGACAGACAAATGAGCCTACTGGGCTCAGCCAACGCAGGTTGACTCAAGTGTCATGACCTATAGAAATACGCAGTGTTCAGAACACTGGTGCAGCAGGGCTCAGCACCTGACGTCTCTGGTTCTGGATCCCTTCCAAACATCCTTTGTGCTTGGTTTGAAAACACAGTGCCAACATAGCTGAGGCTTTCCACATAGCTGACGTAACTTTAAATATACTGCATAATATCTCTGAGGGACTTGTGGTGTACCCAAAGGTGATTGGGAGGGGAATCTGGCAGTAGCTACCATTCATGACCACAGAGAATATAATCATGGCTATGGTGAAAGAACAGAGCACTGTCAGCAGTGCCATGAGATTTTTGTCCTTTCCCAGAAGTCAACTGCTGTTATAAAACAAGAAGCGATGGTGATTCAACAATGAGATCTTCTTTTATCAGAAGCTATATAAATTTATAGATAAATACAATCCTTAATCCATAGATATCACAATTTGAAATTATGTTTTTGGATCCTTTTATTCCAAAATAAAATTCAGAAATTCTAATGTTAATACCTTAACGTCTCCTTTTGATAAATTTCACACATCCTGTCAAATAGAGAGGGAGCTGTTTTTCACATTATGGTATTTGAAATCATCAAAACTGGTACATAAAATTATTACTGCTATCATCAGCGAACAATTTACCTTATTGGAAATCTTAGTAATGCTCTCTTCTTTTAGAAACTAGAATCTCTTCCCATACACTCTGAATGCTGTGATTTCATCAGCTAAAAGGTTGTATTGGGTTTGTGTGGCAAGGTTTTGGTAGCAGGGAGCTGCAGGGGTGGCTTCTGTGAGAAGCTGTTAGAAGCTTCCCCTATGTCTGATAAAGCCAGTGCCAGCCGGCTCCAAGATGGACCTGCTGCTGGCGAAGGCTGAGCCCATCAGTGATGGTGGTAGCGCCTCTGGGATAACGTATTTAAGAAGGGAAAAAAAAACCGTGGAACTGCAGCCAGAGAGAGGATTGAGAATATGTGGGAGAAAATATGTCTGAAGACACCAAGGTCAGTGAAGAAGGAGAAGGAGGAGGTGCTCTAGGCGCTGGAGCAGAGATTCCCCTGCAGCCCATGGTAAAGACTATGGTGAGGCAGGCTGTCCCCCTGCAGCCCATGGAGCTCCACGGTGGAACAGATCTCCACTTGCAGCCTGGGGAGGACCCCACGCCAGAGCAGGAGGATGCCTGAAGGAGGCCGTGACCCCGTGGGAAGCCCATGCTGGAGCAAGCTCCTGGCAGAAGCTGTGGCCCTATGGAGCGAGGACCCCAGGCTGGAGCAGGTTTGCTGGCAGGACTTATGACCCCATGGGGGACCCATGCTAGAGCAGGGGAAGAGTGTGAGGAGTCCTCCCCCTGAGGAGGGAGTGGCAGAGACAACATGTGATGAACTGACCACAACCCTCATTGCCCACTCGTGGGTAGAAGGGAGAGAAAATTGGCAGTGAAGTTGAGTCGGGAAGAAGGGAAGAGGGGGGGGAAGGTGTTTTAAGATTTGGTTTTAGTTCTCATTATCCTACTCTGATTGATTGGTAATAAATTAAATTTTTTTTTTCCCCCCAAACCAAGTCTGTTTTGCACATGGTGGTAATTGGTGAATGATCTCTTCCTGTTCTTACCTCAGCTGAGCTTTGCATTATATTTTTCTCTCCCCTATCCAGCTGAGGAAGGGAAGTGACAGAGTGGCTTTGGTCACCCACCACAAAGGTAAAATCAAGCTAAAATGTACTCACTTATTTTATTTCTCACTTCATTTAATTTTTCTCCAAGGCACATAGCTTCAGCAAACCTGTCAAAGCATAATGATACAGAATTATTCTAGATTAACTAGTTGTTCACAATAAAATACAGAATTACTCAAGACTACTTTTTGATTTGTAAGTAGAACTAGTTGGAAACAATTTTCCATCAGAAAAGATTGTCTGGTCTAAAATAAACCATTTCTGAAACAAACCATGCAACAAATAGGTTTACTCGATGGACAAAACAAATTTATTTGACCTTCTAAGTTTTAAAAATTATGTTATTTCAATTATAATGATTGGATTATCTTAAATATTTATGTTACACTACAATATTAATTTTAACATGCTACACTACTTGCAATTTTTTAACATACAGTTACATAAAGGTAAAATAAAAAGATCCAAGCAAAGTCGAAACCAAAATGTTTGAAAGTATTAGAACCAGGAATTTTCAAATTTCAACCTTTAATTTGCGTATTGCTGATGATCACTGTTAGTGCTGTGTGAAAATGTACACCCCAGTCACTAAGAAACCTCTCAAACAGAAGTATAAGAAAGTGTGACAAGACTAAATTATTCTGTTCTTCTACAGGTAGTCTTATATGAATGCAGAATTTCAGGTGATACTCAGTTACTGTTCAAATACCAATACAAGCCAAAGCTAGCCACATGAAGATATGCAAATAGCAAGCAAGAAGCAGGCTGAGGAGGATGGAAACAAATCAACGAATCAGGCTTTGGAAACTCCCTTTTTGTAGTATGCAAATAGCTTGACCTCAAATTAAAAATGGAAATAAGTTTTTTTAAAGTGTGAAATTCCCAGCAGGTATGACTCTAAATTAATTCACAGACCACTTCCTCATTATATTCAAATAATCAAATCTTCACATGGTATGCAAAATATTCTAATAACCAGAAGTTTCTTTTTTACCTTGCAACATTATGTTGCAGTGATGCTCAGTTCAGTGTTATTAAGCATTCTGCTCACTGTATGTCTTGCTCCTTAAGAAATGTGTTTTATATAAGTATATCCTTAAAAAGCAGCTGCCTACAGAGCCTTACAAATTTGCTTATATTCTCTACATTCCCTACAGTCTGCTAGAACTTGATGCCTTCTCCTTTTGTGCTTTTTTCTGTCAGTTTTCTGATCTTTTACAGCAGTTGCTGTCATAATTTTTCTCTTTCAGTTATTTAATTCAGTACTATATAAAACTGTTTAGGACAAATGGCATACATACCAGGCTTTCAAATGCCAAGTATATTCTGCTGTAAAAATAATGACAGTCAATTCAATGTACAATGGCAAAGTCTGAAGAGTCTCTGAGAGAACTGAGGCTTGTTCAAGGAAATCTCCATTGTAATAGTCTAAATAGCAATAGTTTAAAATGTAGAAGGATGATTTGCTAGATTGTGACTTTTGTTGTAGGACATTAGGCTTGACATGAAATTCTGAATTATTACTTGTACACAACCAAGTTGAGCCTCACTGAATGTGGCGGCAGAACTGTAATACTTAATTGTTAAGCAAGCCTTCAGCTGATCTGGAATAGTCTTGGTCTACCCAAAGTAACTGAGGAAATCCACAAATTGTATTTCTATCTATCTCAAATAATGGCAAAACAGAGTCAAGAAATACAACTTTCCCCTGGGGAGGCAGGATTTGGAAAATTGCCCTTTCTCAATTAGTCCATTTTCCTGTAAAACTGGAACAAGTTAGAATTTCAGGCGCCCACATTTGTATCTGCTCACAAATATTTGCTTTCAAGGCTGAATTCAATATGGCTAAATGGCTGAAGCTGGAGGGTTCCTCAGCATTTATTGCTTCTTACGTAAAGAAGGCAGAAGCCTTTGAAGCATCTGTGAGACTTTTATATAAGCTTTTTCCACTGGTGTTGACTTAGAGCACCCAAGCAGACTTTGAAGATTGTGTAAAGATCAAAGAGAAACACCCCAAAGTACCTCTCTCTTTCTTTCCCTCGGCTCCCATGAGCCAAATACTAAGTTCATCAATTACTTAGTAATTCCTGAGGCAAATCTCCTGTAGACTATTAACTCTGATTCATGTTCACAGAGAGTTTTAGCTTGACAAGTTGAAGCCAGCTATCTATCCAGCCCTTATTCATAGGTTCCTGCCAATAGTTGAATGAGCCATGCATCTGTTTCTCAAACACCACAGTTTATAAGCTGGCACAATAACATAAACTGTAATTTGGCATTAATTTATGACAGTCCAACAAATTCCATCTGTGACTATGAATCACAGTCAAACAAAATAAACCAAAGACATAAGATTTGACTGTAATATTGAAAGGAAAAAGGCTATTTCTGATATTCCTCTAATAAAAAGGTGATATTATATAGCATAAAGGTGACATTGCTACGAATAGTGATGATTGTTAGCTGAAAAGAGTTCATGTGTATCCTAGCTGAAGACCACTCCATAGAAAGGCTGAAGTTGTCAAATCATGGTTTCTATTACCTACAAGATAAATATTCCACGATGAAAGTCCAAAGTTAATTTAGCCACTAATTTTAGTGGAACAAATGTTTTTGCAAAGATTTCATTCTTTGAATGCAAATGCCAGTAATTAAATAATAAACATTTTGAAAAACAAATCTCTAACTCATAATGTAAACCAAAACAAACTCAGAGGTTGTCTAATGAGAGAATGGAGACATTTAGTGAATTAAATGAACATTCACTCATTTTTAATTATTAGAAATTACAATAAGAAGTGACCTAAGTGAAACTCATCCTTTCCATGAAACTCCTCCATAGGTACTGAAAAAACAAGTTACCTGCTAACCAGCTGAAACACAAAAAGCAAGGAAAGAAGAAAGTGGAAAAAATTAATGGAGAACAACAAAATGGGAACTAGATTTACATCACATCTGTAAGCTCAGTAGAATTTTACTACTGGAAATATTGACCAGGATGGGATTTAAAAGCTTCGTGCAGTACGCAATATTACATTGGAGTGGCTCAGCTGGGAGGATTTCTTAGTAGTACATTTCACCAGAAAATGAGATGCATTTTTCTCCTCCTCAGAGAAACAATGCTAAGACAACATGGTTGCATTGAGAAACAGGTTATTATTGAGTTCTCTGGAAGTCAAGTATAGGGAGTCCAAATTGCACAAACCTGATTTTGTCTGGGCATAAACACAGATTTTTTTAAGCAGGGCAGCAGTTATTGTATAGAAGAAAAAATGAAAAAGAATTGCTTTGTATTAACCACAAACTAAGCTGTAGAAGATCATCTTTTCGACCTTACAAAGCCACTTCCCATAGGCAACTGTACTAATAGGATAGCTTGAATCTATTGTCTTTCACTTGAACAGTAAATTCGTAAATGAGCTTCAGAGAGAAACTATCCTTAAGTATGTAAGCTTCCCCACTTTTTAAATCCAGAAATGGTACTGAGTTACAATATTGAGCTACTGCCCATGTAAAGAGCTCTGGAGCAGTAGGTGAAAAGTTTTACATTAAAAACAGTACTTCTTTTATATATGTCTTTTTTAAACAAGAAAAATGCTTTTCAGTATTTGATTTAATCAACCAATTACATTTGATTGTTTATACACAGGTAGTTACAGAAGAAAATATATGTATATTGTATATATATATGACTATGTATATTCACATCTATATGAATAATTTAACAGCCCAAGCAACAGTTGCAACCTTCACAGCCAAACTTCCAACCAGGCTCACTGACAGTTCACCATTCAATTAATATAAGAATGATATAATTAGCAAGCCAAGAAAATCTACCCAAAATACCCAGAGGAAAAAATAAGACGGTTAAAAATAAGTCATTTGTGAACCAAATACTGTTTGTGGTATGACAGAAGTGGTTATGCAACTATAAACAAAATTATTAACATGAGAGGCCTACACATAACGGGAAGCTATGGTAACCTTTAAACATGTGGTGTCCACACACTTCTTCCTCTGCAATTTGAACACTGGCTGGGTAACAGAGCTTTTGTGTAACTGGTAGTTCAGAGGCTGCATTCCAAATTACAGACTGGACTTGATATAAATCCATTTTAATGAACTCAGTAAACCTGGAGCTATAGGCATCTTTGCTAAAAATGACTGCAAATGGCAGGGAAAAACTGTCTTGCTCCAGGGTATTGACATTCACATTAGCACTGATTTCAGCAATCAGCTGATGCATATTAGAAAGGCGTTACCCAAGGTATTAACCTGAATCTTTTTGTCCTTTAGGGAAAGCAAATCTGGTGTCAAACTTTGTCGGTTCTGCCCATCTCTATTACATGTTCTGAAACCAGAAGGAAATACCGGTTTGCTTCATAGTAATAACAGAGAAAATATGGAAGAATTGTTATTAACTATAGGAAATGCAGGGCACGGTTCACAACTGCATTGCTCCTATTATCATGCTATGACCATGAAGTGTTCTGCTCAATAGACAGCAACATCAGAAATGATTGCAGTGTGATCATCTATGCAGTGATGGTGCAGTGATGTGGCATTATATGATACATTGTTCAGAAGAAAGGCATTACTAAACATCCAATTTACATGGATAAATTCTTACATACGTCTAATACCTTGGCAATTTTGTCCTTGTGGCTAAGTTATAGACCCAGGTAGAAACTTAACCAGCTCAGAAAAGTGATAAATAGCAAGACCTTGAATAAGTCACAGAGACACGGAGATAATTTCTTGCCTCAGTTTCACTGATGTAAATGAGTATAAGACTCAATGACCCTGAAAACAATGTCTTCCATGCCTATTGAGTGGGAAAATTGTGTTATTAAGAGAGCAGAAGAAAGCAGAAGAAAGCAGGAAAAGAAGAAAACTCCATGACAAAAGAAGGAAAAAGAAAAAACCCAACCTGTTAGTGGAAACAAGGGTAGATTGACAGATCTGCTTTTGGCATCTCCAATCTCAAAACATTTTATTTCTCTTGCAGTACACTTGAAAAACTGACACTGAAACAGTACTGTTATCCAATCAACATGGGCAAGTGTTGGTGGTTCAATTTCTGAGATGTTTAAAACCTGTTTTATAAAAATTCATGTTTTCAATGTTTTGCCATTTTCACTGGAAGATTTTGAAGTGTTTTGCCAGCATTAATAATAAATGTGGAGGAGGAAAGTATTATTTCTGGTTTTGAGTGCAAAACTGGCAGAGAGAAGCTAAAATCACTTGGCAAACAAGTTAGGAACAACAGACAAAAGCATATGTTAAACATCTCCTAGCTTACTGTCCAACTTGGTGCTGAAGCCAGAAAAGCATTTTTGACAATGGAAATTGCAGTAATTGATTCAGTCACATGGATCTTACTTCCTCTAGATAATTCATGATCATGAATGCCCTTACCACATTGCTTCAGCATGGCTATGAAGATGAATAAAACCAGAGGAAATATGCACTTATGCCACTTTCATACTCTATCCGGACTTTTATTCTGTCACCACTCAGTGCCTTCTGAGTATGAAATATCCCCAGTAAGAAAAGGTGAAGTTTCTGTACCAAGTTCTCAACAGAAGCCTGGGGTGTCTAGTAAAATTACACATTCCTACCCAGACTCATAATGGACTCTCAGACATCTGCCTCCAGCTGTATCTTGCTGTGACACTCACCTCAGTTTTAGAAGCTGTTTGTTGTCCTCAATGGTTATACTGTCAGCATGGTCCCGCTTGAAAACCTCAAAAGCTTCCTGACATCCAAGTGACATCTTTCCTCCTGTCCCAAGAGAAAAAAAGGGGGAACTACTTCAGAGTCATCAAAAGACAGACATTTTGCATTTCTTTAACTCCTATTTAGAAAAATATAGCAAGTCAGGCCAGGGGTCTTAAAGCACCCAGAAGTCTAAGTTCAGTGTTCCATCAAGGGGAAAGCAGTTTTGACAAAAGGTTTCACTTCCCCAAAGTCTGAACGTTTGAGCTGTATCATTTCTCAAAATAACTTAAAATGTTCATAAGTAAAACAAAACTCTGAAAATTTAAAATATGTGAAGTATTCTGAAGTGTGAGCCAGAGGCATTTTCACAAGAGCAAACTGCAATTTGCTTCTGTATTTCTTTCAACCCTGTTTCATATTGGCCCCTAAACATACCTGGAATATTTTCAGTATTCTTGGAAAAAAAAAAATTCAGGTTTCTTTTAATTATGTATTAGTGAATGTTTTTAATCCCCTTTTAAGTGAAGCAGGTATTCTACCTGCAAAAATGGTTGGTTCCTGCCTTTTACATTTTCAACATGGTGCTTGTTTCCTTTTGTGTGCCAGAAGGTCAAGATGTATTTAGCTCTCAGATCTTTTTAAAAGTCACTACGGAAAAGTATTACAGTCTGTATTATTTATCAGTTCTCATTGCTAGATGATCTACAGATCCAAGTAAGAAACCATGCATCTGTATTATCATTAAAAGAAAAAGTCAAAGGCTTAAGGAGAATGAAAGATTACACTGGCATCTGTATCATCATGAGAACATATACGCCAATAAATAAGCAAGAAGAAAGGATGAGACTTGCACTTAAATAAATTACAATAAAAAAGATAGTTCAGGAGCAGAAAAGGGGGAGGAACCTCACACTCCAACTGTGTGAAAAATGCAAAATAGATCCACCGACTCCAATTCAACTTCATGGTTTCAACTTAAACTTCAAAATGATATTCCTTAAATTAGAATTTGATTCTCCTTAGGTCTTTTTTTCCCTCTAAAGTCTTTCTTCTGTCCTACTCACAAACCTTCCTTCCTGCTTCAGAGCTATCGAGACCCCTAAATCCATTGTGCACAAGAGCTATAAAGTTTCCTGGGAGTTCTGTTGCGCAAGAGTTTTCTACATGTTTTGTGCCAATGGACCGGCATTACCAATAACATATGTATGCATGTATGCCAATTATTTTCTGGGCTACCTGCTTTGCAATTTTGATGTAAATGGGGATGACACACTAACAAAACATACCTAAACAGGTTGGGATGTGCAATACTGGGATGCTACACCTCTACAGGGGTCTAGCTCCGTAAGCTGCATTTTATAGTCACTCCAAATATGTTCTGCTGCCCCTCATCACACTCATAACATCAGGATTACTCCCCACGGACTTCAGTGAGATTTCTGTGGTGTAAGATACTGTTTACAGTAAAGGCTGGTAACAAAAACTAGCACTCAGGGTTCAATAATCAGCAAAAGTTTAAAAAACTTTATTCAAAATATAGTAGAAAAAATTGCCCTCTATTTCAGTCAAAAGAATCAGCACATCTGTTACTAATTTAAAAATTTTGAGTTGAAAATAGAACCACCAGGAATGCTTGAATGGCAAAGCACGCAGAAATGCTCCACCCTTTTTGAATAAGAAAATCAAAGAAATATACAGTGTAGTCTTTACTTCTGTGTGATCCAACAGAGCAAGAGGATTTAGGAAAATATATTTTTCTGTGATGATGACCTGAGAATATAACATTCATGTTTCATGCTTGCCTTGAAGAAAAACAGGAAGCTTTGCAAGCAGAATTTTATAGCATATTCATCCCATCAGTAGCACTAATTTTAATACGCAGCCTGAATTGACCCTCTAGAATTGCTTTTGTTGCAGAAAAAGCTTGTATTAAGTGCAGAAAGCCTGGACAAAATTCACGGCTGAGCCTAAAATAAGCGATGAAACACCCTTACTCATACATAACACCGCAATGTAAAGTATTTAACCCTTCTGGCAATGTGCTGCCTTTGAGAGTAGAAGTAAAAATAGTGGAAGTAAGTTTGGAAAACAAAACTATTATGTTGATTATTGCTTCTGCCTGGCAGAAATGCATCAACCAAAATTAAAGGTAATCTGATAATCATTTTCCAGTGCTACATTAAAGACACAGCAGATTCATACAGCCAAACAAAGCACACAAAAATAGATCCCCAGAACTCTTAGGAAGGGGAAATTTTCTGGTTTATACAGTCCATTTTAAGAAAATACAGAAATATATGAAGTAGTAAACACATTCTGAAAATGGTATCTAAGGGAAGGAGCTTAAGAAGGACCATTAAGATTCTACCTCAGCACAATATGAACATAAAACAGCTATAGAAGAATGTTGCAGCCTGTGGGTAATGACAGAGACGTTTAGGATGATGATAAGGGAATACAGCAATGTTAATACTAGTAAAAGACTGCAAGAAACACTGGAAGCTTAATGGAGTGGTTGTGTTTTCATTCTGCTCAGTAATGAAGATTATTCCTTCTCCATGGTTGATGTTGTATCTTCAATCAGGCTGTTTACATTTCCTTAAATAATCTATAATTTCATAAAGTAGCTTCACTTTCTTTCAAATGGCCTCCAGGTGCAAAGGTGCATTATGGACATGCTGTTTCTTCTGGGCCTAATTCAAATAAGCTAGATGTTCTTTTAAAACAAGGTGCTATTGAATTTCTGTTTTTCTCTAGCTGTCAATTGAAACCTATGTATAGCAATATATACATGGTATGAATAAGAGCAGAATTGAGAGAAGAAACCATTTGATAATAACACATTTTTTGCAAGGTAGTCAAACAGTTCAGCTAAAACTGTTAGACTTGTAAAAACCAATTTCTTTTATAGGCCAAGCAATTTCTCCCCTCCTTCTTTAACACTGTGGCATAGTGTTACAAAATAAATATTTGAAAATTCTTATCTAAGGAAGAATCATCATATCCTGCAGGATGAGAGCCAGAAAACACATGTCAAGTCATTACAAAGTGAACTGGAATAATCATTACCATAAAAATAATTCAGATCATCAAAAAAGCATAAAATTTTCTTGCAACCACATTTATAAAACCCCAGTTAACAGGGTTGCATTAAAAAGTGATAAATTTTATCAACTTAAACTTAAACTATCAACTTAATTTTAATTATACCTTTCCTGTTAGGTTGTGTAAATTGGCTGTAATATTAAATAATTGGCTGTAACATTAAAACACTCATAAATATGCCCAACTCACAATGCAAAATTTACAGCAAATCCATCATTATTTACAGCAAATTCAAACAGGTGAAATTTTGGAAAAATTTAGGTTTGATACGCATCCTGAATTTGAATGTTTAAGAATGTTCTTGCTGAAGGTTTGATTTCAGTCTGTACTCCTATCCAGCGCACTCCGCCAACTTTCACATTAAGCAAAAAGTTTTGGTTTCAATAGACTCCTCATAAAATGTGCAAATTACAGCTGTCCCACTGAACTTGGGTAAATCAGAAATCAGAATGACAATGACGCCTACAAGCTCTGAACTAGAGCTACAGGCTCGGAAATGACCAAGAACCAGAAAGCTTGCTGTAGCATTGATAATGTGCTAAACTCTTGAAATCAGTAATAATTCAAAATACACTGAGCAAAAACGTAATAAGGCTTTTCGATGTGGCTGATTACTTTTTGAGGTGACATGAAAAGATCAAAGTGATTTCAAGACTCAGTTGTACACCTACAGCTGGTAGAAGCCTGCATATCAGCAAAGGCCCTGGCAGGTATTATGCATCCTATTCTATCACTAATTTAGACATCATTTATTCTATGTGTTTCATATACAAATACTATTTACAGCCATCCTAAACAACAGCTTTTAGTGCCTCATAAACTTTAGTTAGGAAAATAAGCTAAAGGAACATGTAGGGTATAGTGTGGCACTGGATGCTCAATCACCAGAGAAATTATAGGGCTGAATGCTATTTTTAAGTTAAATAGCATCCACTGGGATTACCCAATGACTATATCTGAGTAGGTAAGAGCATGCAAGTGTATAAACTTAGACCTTATTTTGTTGCCAGAAGTAATCAAACATGGTTGTACGTATTTAAATGACCATACTGATTTTTAAAAATATCCAACACCCACAAATCCTATTGCAGCTTACTTTAGCGATCCCAGTTTATAAATACTAGACAATTTTTAAGGACTGTATTTTAGTGCTTTTTCATAAAGATTGCAAGAGTGCTCAAACTGGAAATGGCACTTCCAGAGTGCTGAGTCAGGCTACATTCTTTGTATTAGTTGGTTTGTTGAAAAAGGGTTTTTTCATGTGTGTGTTTAAAAAGGGTTTATTGCTCAGAGGGATAAGACCTTCATAAAGTTTAATGTGTGAAACTAACAGAAAACATTTACATTGCTCTTCAGTTAAGTCTGGAAAAATTTGTCGAACAATAGCATGAAATTGATATCTTCTCTGTCAGAAAACAGAATCACAGTGTCTCCTCACGACCCCACCTTGTAACCAGATTTTGGTCCCTGTATGAGAGCTCCAAGGGAGTTCCAGCAGCCCCCTCATGCCGGAGGCTGACAGTTTAACCTGCAAAAAGAATTGAAAACCACTCTCCAGGAGAGAAGAATTAAGGTTTCAAGTTGAGCTGTTCTGAGGGAGGAACATTAAGACTGTTAACAAAGGCAAACTCTTGGGAATAGCTGTTCAGACCATGTATTCTGATGAGAAAGGCAACTGCCCACATACCTGTTTTGCAGAAACTACGTTTTCACAGTAGAAGACCTTGTCTTGTCATTCCTATTAAGTGCTCTATTGGACAAGAATTGTCAACTCTTCCACTGAAATCAATAGGAGCAAGAAGTCCCTTTGGCTCAAGGAAAGCTCTCATTCAAGTGAGGGTTTTCTGAAGGATTTCAGGACAGCAGTTAGTGTGAATTATGAGTCTTCACGCTTATGAAGACTGTCAACCTGTTTGTGCTATTATGTATTGACACTTATTATCAAATATGAGAAAGGA